AAAAAAAAAAAAAAAAAAAAAAAAAAAAAAAAAAAAAAAAAAAAAAAAAAAAAAAAAAAGGAAATCATTAAACAAAACATGAGCCCTTTAGGGAAGTCAATTTGGCCAAACTTTAAGAGGAGCATCTGTGCCACTGATGACAAAATGACCTTCAGAGGAAAAAACATAGCTCGACTGAATCAATGCATATTTAATTAAACAGTCTAGATCGTCTAAAACATGACAATTCAATTATTTTCTAGACCTGTCCAATTCCATGTAATCCTATGATCCAACTAAATTGGTGGCAGTTGACCCAATTCGAAGACAAACCATAGTCTTGCTCAGAGGGTTTAATATTATATTAGGGGACGGCATAGAAATTAAGCAAAATGGTGTTTGATATTCATCACGCCATTCAAATCCAGTTCAAACCAAAGTATACACCGTTTAATTTTGAAATGAGAAAATTACAAAATCTCTGGGACTAGCAAAAAGGAAGAGGATTCTACAATGTCATTCCATACCTACGACAGACTGACAGTCCAATTCATTTTATCTTCGATAAGACCCATTTGTAATCTGGTAAGCACAGAATAGAGTTGTTGTGAAACAACTCCAACACCATCTCCATAAGATATCCTGCAAAATTCAGCCATCAAATCAATATGAGGAGAATGCTTTCATGTTTAACACTCCAAAAACCACACGTCCATATCATTGCCCCTACTCAAGCAACTGACGTAAAAAAAAATGGAGAAACATCTCAATCTAGTCAAACGACATCCCATTTCCAAGTCCATTTGAGCGACAGAGGTCATTTATGGTTTGTGTTGTGGAGACTTAATCCCATTCTAAGCATGTTGCAATCTCTTCTAATACAAAAAGGAATTAATATGCAAACATGTACTTTAAATCAGAAGGCAAATTCAATTTCCCAACTACTCATTCCACTGTCTCGCTGCCTCGTAATCTATCAATAAAATGTTTCTGAAACACATCAGTCCCAGAATTTTACCTTTTTCCGAGATATGTGACGCTGCCCACAGGAGATATAACCACTGCTGTCCCCGTACAAAAGACCTCGTCAGCTTCAAGTAATTCATCCACTGCCACAAATCGTTCCTCAACCTGCACTCAATCAGTGCCCACTCAATCACATTATCATCTACAAAATATTTGTAAACAAGCACGTTGAAATCTAAATATGGGAAACTACGTTTGAAAATTATTTTTTTAAAATGATTATAAGGGGCTGTTTGGTTCAAAGTTTTGTTAGTGCAGCTTGAAAAAAATGTCTGGAAATATGCATGGAAATGAAATAATTGTGTATGATATTAAATTTAATAAAATTATATAAAATTTTAATTATAAATATTTATTACTAACTTATATTTCAAAAATCAAACTTCATAGTAGAATAAACTATATTAAATTAGAATAAACTATATCAAATAAGTATATTATAAAATTATACGAAAGAAATTTAATTTTTATTTATTAATAAATATATTATAAATAATATGCCCTAAATATTTGTTAGTTTATTCTGCAGTTAATATCCCTAATTATTTTCAAGCAAATGGTTTTATTAAAATTGTAAATAATTAATATGATAATCGAATTGAAAAATTAATTATATAAGTCATATTTCAAAAATTAAATATAATTTATTTATTTCAAGCCTTCAATCCCCTTTACAAACCATTTGGAAATGACTGATAGATAAAAATAATTTTTTATCAATAAAAAATAAAATAAAAAAGAAATAGCGAAAAGGAAACCCCAAAACCACACACAAAACACAAATAATTAAAAATAAATTAATTAAAAGAGTTATAAAAAACAATAATAAACCTAAATAAATAAATAAAATCGTATTTTAAAAACACGAAAAAAATTAAAAGAAAAATTAAAAATGAAAGAAAATCGAGAAGAGATAGAAGAATTAATAAAATAAAAAATAAAAAATAAGAAAGTAAACGAAACAAAAGGATGGGTTAAAAAACCCATCCTTTTGCATGGGTTTTAAAAGGAAGAAAAACGCTCCCTTTTTTATGCCTAGGAAAAGATTTTTCCACGCAAAAGTTTCAAACCCTCCTCCTAAACACAGGTTTTCTTTTCCCTCCTCTTTTACTTTCCTAGAAAATCGAGTATATCGATTGTCGTGTAATATCTTTAGTGTTACAAACTCCCCTGCCAGTTTACATATACCTCGACTATTCTCATACTACATTGGTTAGAGAATATTAAATTCTAACTACGTGACCACCATAGTTTGAGTTTAAAGTCGTTAATTTTCACATGGCCATTTTACTGACTACTAGGCCAACCCATCGAGAGTGCTCAAAGTTTTTGAGAACTATTATACAATACAAGTTGCCAAATAAACCCATTTTACAAGTAATAAGAGAAGGCTTTACAAATGGTTTTTATTACATACATTATATCAACCTTTTAAGTAAACTAATAAAACAATTATTTGACCATACAATATTTAATTATTTAATCATTGAACAAAATCAGAGTGCTTTTTTTTGC